ATATATATATATGAAACTAGAAATGGAAAATTATTGAATTTTGTATGATTAAGCCACTATGCAGTATATTTTGGATAGGAAATCACATTTTGTATGCTGTTACAATGCTCAGTGAATGAATGTAAATTAATTAATTAAAAATTTAAAAAGAAGAAAAAATGTTTTTGTAGATTTTATTCCTTCCATGAACGAGAGAAAGAGAGACAGACAGATAGAGTGCACTGACAGAGTCTTGATGCCATAATGCAGCTTTCGCCAGCCCACACATGTGTGGCTGACATACTCAAGAACATCTCCATATGGGAACCAGTAACCTTCCCAGGTGGGTCTGCCTCGTGGAGTATTGCATTTTACTGCTGTGCAAGCACCTGGTTCCTAAAAATTCTAACTTTCTTTTTCTTTTTTTTTTTTTGAGAGATTTTCACTGTAGGGCACGTGCACTCTCCAGACAGACAGAGACATAGAGACAGAAAGCGAGAAATCACCCCCCAGGGGGGGATGGTCACGCCGCAATCCCTTCTTCTCCATTCTCCTCTCGGGATCTTGGGCACGCAGGCACACGCGCCTGGCATGAGTCCAGCAACATAGCCATTACGCTAACTGCTGGTTCCCAAAATTCTAACTTTCTATCCAATGCCCTTTCAATTTCACCAGCATGTCCCTTTTAAAGCTCTCTAATATAAAACCTACATGTAAAGGGAGAATGCAATTTTAATATAATCAAAACATATTTGGTCATTCCAGACTAGCACTATAATCACTTGTGAGCTATATGAATGTCAGCATGTTGCTTTAAATTTTAGAAAATGTGTGTTTAAATATTCTTCAAACTAATTTATATTTTCACAAATTAAATAAAAATGATTACCCTTTACTATACAAAATAAAACAAATTCCAGAGAAGAAGCAAGATCCAGGTCCTGTCCATTTTCCTTCAGTCTTCTTTCATTCTGCTCCTCAGACTGGATAATTTCAATTAGTCTCTCTTCAGTGTCACTGATTCTTTTTTATGCCTGTCAAATTTGCAAGTGAAACCATCTAATGAGTTTTCACTTTAGGTACTGTGGCTCCAGAATTTGTTTAGTTCTTATCATTTCTACCTTTTTATTTATTTTTCTATTTGTATTCTGCTTTCCTTCACCTCTTTGTGGTTTCTTTTAAGAATTTGGACATAAGGGAACCAGCAGTTAGTGTAATGGTTATGTCGCTGGACTTCCATGTAGTCGACTGCGGTTCGTGTCCCGGACCCGGTGGCTTAAAACTCACACCGGGCGCGTGTGTGTGTGAGCCTAGGATCCCAAGAGGAGAATGGAGGAGAGGGGATTGCGGCGTGACCATCCCCCCTGGGGGGTGATTTCTCGCTTTCTGTCTCTAATGTCTCTCTCTGTCTGTCTGGCGAGCGCATGCGCCCTATAGCGAAAATCTCACCAAAAAAAAAAATTGGACATAATATATAGGATAATATCTTTGTCTTGACTGATATGTACTGTATTTGTGCTGAGGAAAAAACATGCTTTGTACTCTGTGAAAATGTATAGTATTTAAATGTAAATAATAAAAACAAACAAAAGGGAGTTTTATTTTTAAATATCCAGTTAAATCTAAATTTAGATACTCTGAGGACTCATCAAGCTCATCTCCCAACTTTAGCTCATTGACACAAGAAGCATCATGGTACTGGAAAGGGAGCTATTATTTATTTCATCTCTACTACAGGCCAGATGTTGTGCTTAGCACTCTCTTCCCTATTTGTATCTTCTTATTGCCTTTCTCTCTATTCCTAACTTCTTTCTAGATTTTATGCATCCTTATATGCCACCTTAATTTAGGTTAACAGGCAAGATATAAATAATAATATACTCCTTTATAACCTCACAAAAAGCCTAGGAGGTAGGTATTAGAACTGTTTTTGTGGGGATGGGGGAAGATGAGGATACTAACTACAAAAGTTCAATAATTTCCCAATGTCTAGCTAGGAAGGTGAAGATATTATTGTTTCCCCATCTGTAAAATGGGGTCAGTACTAATTCCTATACTCACAGGGTTTTGTGACATACATGGCATATGTTAACAAATGTTAACTTTTATCACATAGACAATTTCCCACTCTACATTACATCAGGGACTCAAAAGGCATGCCTAAGCTGCCCTCAGATTTCTAGCCATCCCTTCCTTCCTCTTAGATCTGAATGAAAAAAAAAGCCCCTTCCCACATCAGCTGCTTTTTCCCTTTGTCTTTCCTCTCACCAGTCAAGCAGTCAAGATTATTCATAGAAATAGCCCATTTAAACACAAGTTCCCCTCCCCAACTCTAAGGAAGACCTCATATAGTACAAGGACCCAGAGAGCAAGGGAGAAAGAGAAGTAAGAGGGCCTGGAGAATCAGTCCATCAAGGTGACACATGGCTCCAACATCCTGGGCAATAAATCAGACTGCCACTTCACCAGAGGCAGGTGGGAAAATGGGATAATGGCCCATCTGGAATTGTGAGACCTATTTTTGCTCCTGAAAGTGTGGCCACAGATGTAATATTCCCTTGATCCCTAAGGAGTGTTTAAATACTAAAGGATTCTGTAGCCCATAGTTGGCTATTATATTACATAACACATCATTACTGATAATGGTTATTCAGAGTGAAGGGACACCTCTTAGGTTAGAGATGAGAACAACCTCTTCACCAATAGGAGTAAATAATTACCTCCATGGCCTATCTGCAGGGAATGAAGTACCCTCCTGTATCCATCATCTACAGTGTTATCCCAAGTCCCAACATTCCTATGGAAGAAATATACATAGAGCTTACTAACACAGGGAAAATAAGTTGATTTCCTTCTGTTAGTGAGCAAAAAAAAAAAGTAACAGAGGTAGTGTGGTGCAATAACAATAAATGGTAGTTCACAAGACAACCTGATATTCTGTATGGTAAGTCATAAACTTCTAGGTTTTCTCCATTTCCTCTCCTCAACCAGCATGAAGACTCAGGTCTCTCACTGGCTTTGTTTGGAAAATTGTATCTTTCAGAACTAGCACACCAATCTCGTCAGGGTTGTGAGGTTCAAATCCTAGCCAGATACCAACTGGGTGCAATTATGTTAAATTTAACTTCTGAGCCTCATCATTAAAATAGAGAAGAAATCACTTATATCTTCCTGAAGTTGAAAGACATCATGTGCTAACTTTTTTAAAGTTTCTGGCCAAGAATCACACTCCTCTTCTCTTCCAGGACCAAGAATAAGATTAATCTGGGTCACAGGTGCAGACTATCAAAGTCAAACTTCGCTTTTTTTTTTTTTTTTCATTAAGACTGAGGTAAATCTTTGCTTTAACTTGTCTTGGAGAAACAAATAGGAAGAGATTATCTGACAAGAAGGTATGGATGGTTGGCATTATGGTAGGAGCTATTGGGAGAAGGGGAGTAGGCATACCTGGTCAAACAGCTGCTTGCCAGTGGTGTTGGGCTGGATGGCAAACTCTAGCTCTGCATCCATCGTAGTCACACGCACACTGATCTAAAATGAAATCAAAAGAAGTAGGTTAGTCATTTGGTTCTGGGCTCAACAAGTGTCTCTGTTCAACCACAGAGGAGGGAAATAGGATGCTAAGAACCTGAGAAATATAGACATTGATTGGGAGAAAGACGAATATTTACACAAACAAGCAATAACCCAGCCCCTGCTCCCAACCAACACATATAATATAACACAGTAACAGAAAAAGGCTTACCAAGACAAAAACAAGAATGCAAATTAGCCTATTACCAAGAGGAAGCAAGGGCTGACTACTTCCAGAAAGTCTTCCCCACATGCACTAGTCCACAGTGTTTTCTTCTCACCTCTGATCCACACCCTAGATTGTCTACACCACTGGTAGATAATTACAGAGGCAAGTTAAGGACAGGATAAAGTGAAGGGTTCTGACCTTATCACTGTAACTGGCTCAATTTACACCCTTAGATAACTCGTCCCTTTCCTGGGCCTTAGTTTTCCTCAACTGGGCAAGAACAGGAACGGGATTGGGAAGTCAATTAAAGTAGGTGCTGACATCTGTGGTTATATATACTGCCTTGCATTGTTAATATTAATATAAATAATAATGTAAATAATCCTGTATTTATCTCATTGGCCTCTCTAGGCATAAGAGTGGAAGGGGGACTCAAAAGAGGCAGGTATGGGCATCATAGAGGTGGTACCAAAGCCAAGTCAATGGAAGTATGAAGGGGACAAAGCCAGGCCCAGGCCCAAATAACAGGTAGCCACACACATGATTTCACAGGCACTTACTTAGGTCAATGATACCTGAAATCTTGTCATTAGAGATTTATTCATTTGGATAAAAACTTGGTAATGATGTTGGTAGTAGTAATAATAACAGCAAACAGCAGCTTTCATGTATCAAGACTTACTACTCACTAGGCACTTCATATGTGCTACCCCATTTAATGTCAACATTCACCCTGTGAAGTAAAGAGTACTATCTACACACTGGGGATAAAGGAATAGATATTTGTCTGAAGTCACAATGCTACTAAGTGAGGGGGACAGGGTTTGAAACCAGGTCAATTCTTTTTTTTCTTTTTTATTCCTTTTTTTTTTTTTTGGAGAGGCTTTTTCTACAGGGTACGAGTGCTCGCCAGAAAGAGAGAAACAGAGAGATAGAAAGCGAGAAATCACCCCCCAGGGGGGATGGCCACGCCACAATCCCTTCTCCTCCACTCTCCTCTTGGGATATTGGGCACACACACGCGGCCAGCGTGAGCTTAAGCCACCAGGTCTAGGACTCAAACCACGGTTGACTACGTGGGAGTCCAGCAACATAGCCATTACACTAACTGCTAGACCCCAAAGCAGGTCAATTCTAAACCTTACGATTTAAACCAATATGCTCAATTCTTCTTACAAAGTACAAAAACATCCCATTAAGTCAAAGTATTTCTTTTAAGAGAATTTTTTGCTACAGGGTACATGTACTCACTGGAGAGAGAGAGAGAAAGAGACAGAGAAAGAAAGCAAGAAATCACACCCCCGCCCCCCCCCGGGAAGATGGA